GAGTCGGCCCTGTTATCGACCCGGATTTGACCGTTCTACGGAGGGGTACTTGTCGATTCGGTGGAAACGGTTCAACTTGTGAAATCCGAGTTTTGTGCTTGGACGAGGAGGAGGAGTACCCTAGACCACTTCCTAGAGGGAGAGACATGAAACACTTCAAGCAATGCACCTGATCAAGAATCATCCACAAAACAACCGGTCATCCAAAAAGATTGGGAATGTATGAATATAAGTGTGCGTGTCATATCTTAGGTCAGCGGTAGGCCGGAATGAATGACTTTGGCAACTCGTCCGAGTCTCTTCAAGTGAAAAGTAAGGCAACTGACTATCTTGTCGATTGCATCTATGATATTGTCGATAGTCAACCTCTTGTTGGTGGTTGTTTGATCATTTTGTGGTTGTATGTTTGTATATATCTAATGATGATTTCAATTTTCCAGTTATCATTTCAGAATGAATATTTAATTTTATCAACTACGGTCGATTCCTTTTGGTAAAAGTAAGCATGATTACTTTATTTTTTTTTGGGTTATATGTCTAAGAGACTAGGACCAAATTGAGGGTTTCACGCTTGGTTGAGACCGTCATAGCCGATCAGCGTTCGCTTCGTACTTAGGAGATCAGCGCCCTAAGAAACGGACGACGCCTGGACCCGCTTGGCGTTAACCAAGCGTATCTATGCTACAGCGAACGAGTAAACGCCCTCGGCTGACCTACCTCTGCAACGACATGTAACAATTTTTGCACGTGGATCAGTAGCTCGGTAGGGATACGCCTCTAAGGGTGGTGACGGCCCCTTAGGGAAGCAAGCTTGTACCCCGTGGCAGCCTATCCTGCCGTCGACGACTGCGGGATGTACAGCTGGCTCACGCGACTAAAGTGGTGAAGGGACGACACCACCGCGGCTGTCTCGGCGACTCGCGGGATTATTTATGCGTCGTCCCAAAGTTGTCTCTTGATATTGGTTTACTTTAAACTCTTGCGTGACACGACCGGAAGGGTTCCCGCCTCTTCGGGATAAAAGGTGGGGGCCCTTCAAAAATTAAAGGGTTGATCAGTGCTTTGTCGTTGACTGAAGTTGTTGGTTTTTTCAAGGGAATGTCTTTGACAAATATTATGTAGCACACTTGCACCTAAGCATTTGCCTTCGTAAGGAAGTGACAAACAGACTAACCATTTGCGTTTATAAAGTGATACATGAAAAAAATGACATAGTTCTCTCTTTGTGTATATATTTCTCCCTCCCTCGCTTATAAAAAAAAAAAATCATTAGGGCGACATTCCCGATATTCGTGGTAGATGATCATACCTCAACCGCGATTTATTTTTCTTTGAGAGAACATTCAACCTGAAGGTGATTCATGGATTCCAGAGCAGGTACAAGAAACTTATTGTCATTCCTTTCTCAACCACCCACTCCGTGCAGGGAGTGATCATTAGGGGAAGTAACCGAAGTACTGTTAGTTTATGAGCCGAGAGAGGTGAAACAACGTGTTGAATCATAGATTGTCTTGATGCCCAAAATGTGAATATGAATTATAACCTTGATGACGATCATCTGCATTGTTTTGTATCCTTCAAAGTTGACAAAAAATGTATGATTTTCATTTTTTTTCTTTTTCTTTTTTAACACTACTACCTTTCACGTTTTTTGGCCGGGGATGAGACCCTAAGATTTCAGAGGCTGGTAATGTGAAAATGGAGGCCGATTAAAATTATCAACAGTGGGCGCGCGTTGGGTCTAGCGTCCCAAATTTTAGGGTGGTATAATTTTTCTAATAGGACATCGGCCTAAAAGTATTGGTGGCTTAACTCAAACTTCATTCATTTCAAAATGTAAATACCGAGGCTGTAGAACTCATACTTCAACCAGATATTACAGAGAACATTACTCAACTTCAGATTTTTTGTTTTTTATTTTCTTTCACTTTTTTTTCGTGCTTGAGAATTTCCGTAATTGATCACGTTTTGACTTAGATTATACTATGTACCTATTATACTTCCAAATATACTACAATGCTACATGGCCATAATTAGTTTAATACATTTATCGCTCTTGACCTTTTTGCCTCTTCATAATTGTTTTATACGTATCCTTCATTTTGCAATTTTTATAATAAACTATCCATAATTGTGGTTTTCAAATCATTTTATCCAGTATATGTCATTTTACCCTGGTCAACCTTTTTTTACCTTATGTGTATATTTTTTATAATGTTGACTATCATTTTTCGTACTGGATAATTATCTCTCTCATTTTTTTTTCTTTTTCTTTCTCTCGCACACACACACACGTTCGCAGGGTAGTCAGTCTAACCTCCCATAAAATTTTCAAAACCATTATCGGGTTTCTCCCTCTCTCCCTCTCTCGCACACACACACACACACACGTTCGCAGTATATATGAGTCGGTGAAACTCCGATGAAACAGTTTGTCACAGCCCTCGTTTGTTGTCCTCTTCTCTCTCTCTGCCTACGGTTTACCGGACAGTTCTGTTTGTGACGATATATATATATATATATATATTATTCTACCACGTTAAACCGTTTTCTACATTATTCACCCTCCTCAATAGTCCTCTTCTCTCTCTCTCTCTCTCTCTGTCTCTCTGTCTGTCTGTCTGTCTGTCTCTCTCTCTCTCTCTCTCTCTCTAGTCCATGTTTTATCTAAGGCGAGCGCTAAATCTTTTTTCCATCTTGGGATTATATTATTGGTAAGACATAACCTACGACAATATATACCCAATCCATGATGAAAGGTTCCCTCTCCCCATGTCGATGCTCCGTTCTTTCGTGACTGTGCTTTTGCTGCACAACCTTAGCATACACGCCATCCTTAACAGCCATGTGTGCTTGCGTAATCATGATGGTTGATGTATCCTGCTATGGAAGATGCAAAGGTTTCTCTAACTCAAATATTTTATCCTCGCCAACTCAGATCGTGATGGTCACCATATTAAACCATGAAAGACGATAAAGTAAATCGAAAGTTTCTTCTCTCCAACCGAGATCATGACGACCACTGCATCCAACAATGAAAGGTGATCAGGTAAGTTGAAAGATCCTCCTCGTCAGTCCGGATCGTGATAACTGCTATATCCAACCATGAATGATGATCAAGTAAGTTGAAGGTTCTCAACCTAGTTTTAGACAAAAGATTTTACAGACAAAAAATTATGCCCTATAGTGCCACCCACTACCCATCACCGCCACCGGTGCAGAGCATCTGCTGAAGAAGTTGTTTCCATCATTCTACAATACAAAACTCCAAAGAAAGCTCCATGTGAGGTGCGCTAACTTTGACATCAAGCGCTCTTGATCCCACACTGCGGTGCTGCACTGTATCCCCTCCGTGTGAACATTAGGGAACAAACTCTATTCTTCATGCTCAAGTCGACACCCAGCTAAGCCCTCTGCTCTCCCTTCCTCGAGGACAAGCTCAGTCATTGTTGCTCGAGCTCTCCTCCACTGTGCTAAGCGCCCCGGGGTATGGAGAGCTTGCTCTGCGTATATCCTCTCACGCATCATGGAGCTTGAGCTCGTCTGCGCCGTCTACCGCCTCATCCCTATTTTGTCTGATTAGTGCCAAAATTTGTGGAAAAACCCTCTGCGCTCCTTGGCCCTCCTAATGCTTTCTCACACCCAAAGGCGTACCCCAGACCTTTTGGGCCACATTTGCGTGGCGCCCCTACCGGCGCCACGCAAAGTTGCTCCCTGTTGGTCAAAGCGCGGCAGGCCGTTGGACGAATTCAAGGGGTGGTACACGGAATTTCACGAACTTTTGGGGCGCCCACACAAGTCTCTAGAAAAGGGCTAAACGGACAAATCCGAGAAAGGACAGTGGTCCTTAAGGACAGCCGTTAAAATTGGAACGATGCGGAGCAGATCCTGCGCGATGGTGGCTCGCATAAGTCAAGAAATGGTCCAAAACAAAAACGGAAAGAAAAATTAAAAAAGAGAAAGGACAGGAGTGGCCGATGACTCTTGGACTGTATCGAGCATCCTAGCTTAGTTCGTACGCAAGTGGCATTCAGGTGGTCTTGGGCTCAATCCGCATTGGGCTCATGTGCCTTCCTGGGTAAGCTTGGCGCCCTCCACCTACGGAGAGATGGGCCGTTGGTCCCCCCGAGTGGCATTGAGCGGAGACTGCTGATGTTCATAGGCGGAGAGGACCGGCGGGGAGGCACAGCGACTGGCCCACAGACGAAGCTCGGTCCTGATGCTACCGGGGCAAGGTCCCACTTGCACGGACTACGAGATTCTGACCGTTGATCTTTGCTATCTACGGTTAATATCTCTTAATTCGTGTAAGTGGGACCTAGCCCCGGCTGACCCCTGGCCGGTATCGCCCACCTGCTGTAGCGGGTATCGCACCTGCTAGTGGGTGCAGCTCCCGCATGTTCCCTCGTTGGAGGCTTGAGCACGGATGTGGCTGCCTAGGGGGTTCCCCGCAATATATATATATATATATATACTACAAATAATAATGGCAATACAAAAGGCCTAAAGGCCGTCCTGTCTAGATTCGACAGGTAATTAAAAACAATTACGCTTGGACTCACCGGCGACCGACTTGCGCCCGGACCGCCGCTGACGGCTGCTGGTCGGCCGACCGATTGCTGTCGGCCGCCGCCGGTCTTCCCATCGAGCCGCCGCCGGTCTTCCCATCGAGCCGCCGCCAGTCTACCGAGCGACCAATCGATCGACATAGACGGACTTACGGGCCGACCAGCCTGTCGTCACGAGGCACTGGTTGGCGGGAGTGATAGGTGCGCGCGGGAACAGGGGGCATAGGTGGGCGGGAGCAGAGTTTGCAGGTGGGCGGGAACAAAAGTTCGCAGGCGGGCTGGAACAGAGTGCGCAGGCGGGCGGGAACTGCATTGCTGGCGTCACGTGGCGGCGGGAAAAATAAGTGCTACGAGGTCGGCGGATGCTATTGCGCGCGTGTGGGGGGTATTGACCCATTGAGCCCGGAAACGTGCGGAGCGGTCGCGGAGCGGGTGCGCGGATCAGCACCTGCGCCGCTTGCCTGTGATGCCTGTGGGCATGCCGAGCGGGTAGTAGATCGAGCGGGATCGACGACAGCGAAACGGAGAGCAGGTATGGTGCATTCCGCTCCTTGCCAGTTTTCATCTTTCCCCTGCTTTCTCCCTCTCTCTTTCTCTCTCACGATCTGGCTTTTTTCCCTCATTGTTTCCATAGCCATGCGCACGTTAGTCTGTGAGGGTGGAGGGAGCTGGATCTGATTAACCAGCTTTCAAATTGAAGTCATCCGCCTAAGTCTTTTCACGAGTATCTAGTTTTTCCCTCTATTTTTTTGTAGTTGCATTGTCCAGCTTCTCCCTCTGGTAAATAGTCATTGGCATTGTCTTTTTTTTTTTTTTTTTTTTTTGGGGAATATTTGGCATTGTCCAGCTTTGTCTCTAGTAAGCATTTGCGTTGTACTGTTTTGCCGTCATGAGTACGTAGTAGCATTCTCCCCACAGCCTTTTTTGCGTCGAATTCTCTTCTCAAAAGTCTCAGTTGTACATCTCATCTCATTTAATAAAAGAACTTAAGGCAAGCTGCACTAAGGCAGTTTCCATATGGCGAGGGAGGCCACTGTCCAGGTCAGCATCCACTCTCCAAATCACCATCCACTCTCCCTGTCTCTCTCTCTCTCTCTCCCTCTCTCTCCTCTCTCTTTCCTCCTCTCTCCGGTCATCATCCACTCTCTTTCTCCCTCTCTCCCCACAGGTCAGCATTCACACTCCGGTGAGCATCCGCTCTCCAGATCAGCATCCACTTTCTCTCTCTCCCTCGCACTCCGGTCAGCATACACACTCCGGTGAGCATCCGCTCTCCAGATCAGCATCCACTTTCTCTCTCTCCCTCGCACTCCGGTCAGCATCCACTCCCTTTCTCCCTCTCTTCCACCAGGTCATCATTCACAGTCCGGTGACCATCCGATCTCTAGATCCGCATCCACTTTTTTCTCTCCTTGATACTCCGATCAGCATCCAATCTCTCCCTCTCCCTCACTCTCTCTCTCTCTCCCCAAAGGTCAGCATTAACTCTCCGTCGAGCATTCGCTCCCCAGGTCAGCATCCACTCTCTCTCTCTCTCTTTCTCTCTCCTCCCCCCCTCCCCCTCTCTCCCTCTCGATCGATTGATCGTCAACTCTCTTCCCTCACTTTCTAGGCCATCCTAGACCCTTCATCCTTCGCCCCTTCTTCATCTCGGCATGCGACTAACCCACCTCCTGTCTCTTATACACATCTAGATGTGTATCCCCGGTCAGTATTCGCTCTCACTTTCTCTCCCATGGTCCCAATACTGCATTATTATGAAATCACAAAGTTCCCCCCCTCCGCCCCCCCCCTTCGCCCCCCTTGCGGCCTTGATCGCGAGTGTCCACGTCGGCATAGTGCATTCGGAGAATCGCTATTGATTGGTTAGGCTGGATCGTTTTTAATTGGTTATGTCATTGATTGGTTACGCCGTTGATTGGCTACGTATCTTTTTGAAAGACGAAGAAATCTGCTGTTGATTGGTTACGCCGTTGATTGGCTACGTATCTTTTTGGAAGACGAAGTAATCTGCATTCGGGGATTTCGCTTACCCTGTTGAATGAAACTGCGGAATGGATGAGAGAGGAGCGATCTATATGAATAGGAGGATGTAACGATTCATTCCAATTGATAGTCGTATGGTCGACGGAACTGTATTTGAATAGGTAACAGACTATATACATTCGCGATCGGTATAGATGGGATTATTTCGTCTATCCCTCAATTGAAAGTATGGAGGGCAGAAAAATGTATTGAAATAGGAAGCAGTCTACATACATTCGATTCGTTCCAATTGATAGATAGTATGGGCGACGGAACTTTATTTGATCTTTTTTTTCCCCTTTCTCGTTTGATCTTGTTTTCATCCTCTAGATTCTCTTCGTTTCTCATATTTCTCTTCCTCATTAAAAACCTTGCAAGGACCCCCCTGTTTCCCTCTGTCCCCATGCGTTTTTTTAATAATTTTAATAATTTCCCCTTTTTTCAACGAGTTTCTGTCAGGTAAGATCATGCTTACATTACTACTTTCTTGACTCAATCTTTACGTAATTGCAGTCGCCGATTTATCCAGGAAAGTGCAATTGTGAGTCTGGCATAAACCCCTGTTCACTGTGGCGTCCAATTTCTCTTTGGGCATACTCATAGTTGGGTTTTTCGGGATGTATGTTATAGTAATTACGGCCAGATTCTGTCCGAAAAGTCCTGGTGCGAGTTTTTTTCTCTCTCTCATTTCTGTGGGTCTTCACGACTAAATGATTCCAAGGATCCCATCTCTATGTCCATGATTCTCCCTTCCCCCTTCCCCCGCCCCTCCTTCCCCCTCCCTCGCATCCGGATTCTCGCCTTTAGCCGATCCCAAGCCCCCTCCTTTCAGCTCTCGGATGGATTATCCCGTCCCCTTCTTCCCCCCCATGCGTTTCCCCCATCTTCCCCCCGCCTCCCCCTCGCCYCCCCCTCGCTTCCTTGTCGACTCCCCCTCGCCTCCTCCTCGCCTCCCCCTCGCTTCCGTGTCGACTCCCCCTCGCCTTCCCCTCGCCTCCCCCTCGCCTCCTTCCGGCGTCCTCCCGTTCCTCCCTCCCTCCCTCCTCCATTATGTCCCTCACGGTCTATCTCTTCTGCTTTCTCCCTCCCGTTATTTACTGTCTTGTATCCTCCTGTTTCCCTCGTGAATCGATAACCATGTTGATTCAAGGATGGTCCTTTCCTTCCGTGCCATGTTGCCTCTCCTCCTCTCCGCTCGCCGGCTTCCTCATTCCCTTCTCCTCCCTCCTTCCAACTCATGGTCCCACCTTCCTCCGCTCGGTGGAGTGAACTCCCAGGACTCGGTAGTCGCACGTTCTTCCTGGAATTCCCGGGGACTGGTAGTCCCACCTTCCTCCGCTCTGTGGAGGGAACTACTGTCGGGACTCGGAGTCACCTCTATTTCACCTCGAGGCCGAAGGCGGCGTAATACGTCTACGCTTTCCATCTTCATACGCTAGATCCAATACGACTACCGTCTTTCCCCGAACACAACGCACCCTTATTTTGGCTGTATCTGGCCGGAAATATAGCTTGTATACATTCATTTTTAGGGTGCGTTATGTTCGGGGGGAAGACGGTAGGAGTCCGTCAAGCCCCTCGCCTTGGGAACTAATTGGTTGAGTACTGGGGTATTACTATTAGCATGAAATCAATCATGCCCCTCCCGCGACTCTTAGGCCCACCTGCTGGCGTTCCCTCGGTGGAGAGAGGTTTCCTGGGAGTCGTGGTTCGTGGTCTCACCTTTGTCTGTCTGTACTCAGCTTCCTATGGACCTCATGAGTTTGCTGCCTTGAAATTCGGATTGGACTTTGTTTCCCTTGTCGACCGATTTCTTTCCTGTAATTAATCAATCCTCCTCTCTCGATCTTTGCCCTTTGGCGACAGGTCTCCTCCGGACCGTACATACCTTGGGCCACGTCCCACTAGCAGCGTCGAGTTTCCTCAACGCCTGAATCTGGACGTGTCTGTGGATATGTGCAGAAATCGCGTTTTCTCAACCGCACATCTCCACGAACGCGTCCAGATTCAGGCGTTGAGGAAACTCAACGCTGCTCGTGGGACCAATTACCGTTCCCTCTGCAATTTCGATTTCTCTCTTTTGGCGGGAAGTCACAGTTTCGATCTCTCTTCTTTGGCGGGAAGTCTCGGATTGGACCTTGTTTCCCATCTCGAGCAATTTCTTTTCTTTGCTCGATCTTTCTCCTTTGGCAAGAAGTCCTAGATTGGACTTCGTTTCGACCAAGTACTTTCCTCTTCAATTCCGATCTCTCTTCTGGCGGGAAGTCAAAGCCTCTCTCTCTCTCTCTTCTGTGGCGGGAAGTGTCGGACTGGACCTTGCTTCCCTTGACGACCAGTTACAGTCTCTCTCTCTCTCTCTCTCTAATCTCTCCTGTGGCGGGAAGTCTCGGACTGGACCTTGCTTCCCTTCGCGACCAGTTACTTTCTTTCAGTTTCGATCTCTTTTTTGGCGGGAAGTCCCAGATTGGACTTGGGCCGGTTTGTGTTTGCGCGGTTCTTTCAGTTCTGACCGTCGATCTCCATAATCTACGGCACGAAATGAAAAACGCGCAATATGTTTTCCCTTATCGACCAATTATTTTCCTGCAGCATCGATCTCTCTCCTCTGGCGGGAAGTGTCGGACTGGACCTTGTTTCCTTTGTCGATCGATTGCTTTTCCTGCGATTTCGATCTCTCTCCTTTGGCGGGAAGTCGGAGATTGGACGTGAAGCGGGCTTTATGTTCGCGTTTTTTCATTTCTGACCGTCTATCTCCATAATCCACGGCGCGAAATGAAAAACGCGCGATATGTGTTCCATTATCGACCAAGTACTGTATTTTCCTGCAGCATCGATCTCTCTCCTGTGGCGGGAAGTCTCGAACTTGATCTTGTTTTCCTTTCTCGACCGATCACTTTCCTCCGATTTCGATCTCTCTCTTTTGGCGGGAAGTCTCAGATTGGAACCTCCTGCGATCTCGATCTCTCTCTTTTGGCGGGAAGTCCCAGATTGGAACCATGGGCGGGGTCCCGCGCGGGTTTACGGCGCTATATGAAGACCGCGCGTTGTCTTTCCCCTACAAGACCAATCAGTATCTTCCTGCAGTCTCGATCTCTCTCCTGTGACCGGGGAGTAGGTCCCACTTACACGAATTAAGCGATATTGACCGTAGATAGCAAAGATCAACGGCCAGAATCTCTTCATCCGTGAAAGGGGGACCTAGCCCCCAGGAAGTCTCGGAGCGGACCTTATTTTTTCCTTTATCGACCAATTACTTCCCACCCGGGGCAAGGTCCCACTTGCACGGATTAAGATATTCTGGCCATTGATCTTTGCTATCTACGGTCAATATCGCTTAATTCGTGTAAGTGGGACCTAGCCCCGGGTTCGATCTCTCTCCTTTTGGCGGGAAGTCGTATTTGGTATCGACTAAAAGTACTGTCCTGTACCAACTGGCCTACGGTCTTCACCCGAATCGAACGCCCGGTCATTATCGCTGCATGTAGACTGAAAGTTGGTACACCCCTT